GAGAGAGAGAGAGAGAGAGAGAAAATTATAGCTTCTCCTTTTCACTCTTCTTTTCGTGTATATACCTTTATTGCCTTGATTATTTTCTTAATTTCACCAATTGCTTTTGCTTGTTGATGAATATGTGAAAGCTTGACTGGTTTTCTGAAAGCCCCATGCTTGACCTATCAACTTATCAACTGATTGGACGATTTATCCATTGCTTAAGTTAACAGATCAAAAGACTCTTACGATGCACATGGCAGAAGTGGTGGCGTAAACGATTGATTGAGTGCATTGCTTAATTGCATACTGTCTTGTTAATCATACCATACCATACCACACCATACCATACCATACTATACCATACCTTACCATACCACACCATACCATACTCTTTTGTAACACCTTTAATCTTCGGCACTTAAAATGAGCTAATTGTGTTGCAAGTGCCGTAAAACTCTAACTAAATCCAAATATCATACCATAGCATACCACACCAAACCATACCATAGCAAACCATACCATACCATACGACAATATTGCTTTTATGTCCCAGGTAATCTCCAGAGGACAGGTACTCTACACTACCAGCACCATGCGTAGTCTGGACGGACGGTCTCTTGTGAGTCTGCCGAAACGACTCCACGGCGAACTCACCCCTAGTATGAGAGTGGTAGCGTATTTTATGGTGGACGATGAGGTTGTTATGGACTCTCTGCTGGTCGACACCCCAGACGTGTGTCTGGAGGAGGTGAGAAGGCTGTGGATTTGAATCCACGTTGATTTTCTTTTTTTAAATGTATTTTGCAAGAATAAATAAACCTGTTTTCACTGAGAACCGTTTGTTGATTTGGAGATTTTAAAAGGTATTTTCTGTTTGATTTTAGTCTTGGTCAATTGATGCAATATTATTACTTATGGACCATCATGCGCTTCTCTCCAAGTGATACACTCGAGATCAAACTGTACTATGAACTAACTTTAAAACAACCAACTTGTGTCCCGCAAGCTCAAATGACCTTATGTACATGTAGTTGCAGGCACCGTAAAACTCTTACCAAACAAACAAAACAAACACACCGCTAGATCATGCCTCTTGATTGAGACGGTGACCACACACACTCACCTACACACTTTCACATGTTGTGCAACCCCACCGTACACAACGATCTCACACCCACATACATGCACACTACACTAGTGGTTAGGCTCTCGGACTCGCAACCGTAAGGTCGTGGGTTCGAATCCCGTCAAGGGCCCGACGTTGTGTCCTTGGGAAAGGCACTTTACACGAATTTTCCTCACTTCACCCAGGTGGGAATGGGTACCCGGCTATAGACCGCGAAAGATCTTGTCAGTTTGTTAGTGTTTGAGCGCTTAATCGGCTGCTCGCACTGTATGCTTCCCGGGAAGCTGAGAATGTTTCGGAGTGTTCTATGGTCTGCTGGGGTAATAATATAGTGTAAAGCGCATAGAGCCTGCTGCTGAGCGGGGATATGCGCTATACAAATGCTATCTATTATTATTATTATTATTACACACAGAAACGTACACACAAGTACGCAATCATGGACGTATACTTACACCCACAGTAAGCTTGCGCGCGCGCGCGCGCGTGCGTGTGTGTGTGTGTGTGTGTGTGTGTGTGTGTGTGTGTGTGTGTATGGTTGGGGGTGTTGTCTGCACGTCTGTTTGTTTGCGAGTGTGTGTGCATACGCTGTGTTCATAAGTACAATTTATAGATACACACACTAATGTGCATGTGTTCGATTTCCAGCTTTGTCGCCGATATAATATGGACTTGCGTAGTCGGCTTAGTGGTCTCGTACCATGCAATATGTGTCCACTTTGTAATTGTCGAAAGTATAGATATAATATCTATGTCTCTAATCTGGAAAAGCCAACAGATGTAAAGCATTTGTTGCAAATGTCCATACACTAACTTGATCGCATCTATGACACATGTCCCTTCTAAGGCAGACTACATTGACCATGCCCATCAGTTTCAACCCGGGCTTTGTGGACGTACTCTAAGAAGAGAAAATTATTATATTTTCCTGATGTTTAAGTCAAAATAAATAGGTAACGATTTTGGCAATCAGTAAATAAATTGTGCGCAGAAAGCATTCATTTTAGTATAGTGCTCGTTAGCATGGTTGGTATTCCGCTGTGCTATGGTGCAGATGACTTTGGTTCGAATCTCTAAATGAGTTTAGTTTGAACTTGAGTTTTTAGGAGGACTTTCTTAAAGACTCTCCACATTCTTGACTTTGTCATATCGGATAAGGACAATTTTCTCGTGAGTCTGGCCTCTTAAATAACCCTTCCCAGACGAACGGGATGTTAAACCCACATACCATACCATACCATACCAAACCACACCACAGCACACCAAACCGCAGCGCAGCACAGCACAGCATAGCAGACCATAGCATAGCACACCACACAATACCACACCACACCACACCACACCACACCACACCACACTACACCACAGCACACCATAATGATGTCACACTAAATGCAAGTATTCACTTATATAGCTAACACTGCGAATCCCCAGGTCATAGTCCAAAAGCCCGGTGGTATGTTTGGCGGGAGTCTGAGCGTGAAGCCAAAGGATGGGTACAAGCTAAATGTCATCGGTGGCCGCAATATGAAAGTGGGCATGGTGGCTGTGGACAAAGCCGTGCTGCTGGTGAACAAGGACGTCACTCTGTCCAGAGAATCGGTACGTGGAGGGGTTTTTTTTTTCGTGTTAACTCACTAAAGACGTAGCGGACATATTATACGTCCGGTCAACAGTAGACCAAAGACAATGTTGAGCATTATTTTGAACCGTCAAACGCAAATCAGAAACACAAATTTACATATTTTTTTAGTATGCATGTTGTTATCTCGCTTTTTGCGTTTCAAATTAAGTAAACAAAAGTGAAAGCTCTGTATAAATAACAAAGCTTTTGTAAAGTGCCTCAAACAGGGCGTCCTCGCGCGTTGTCGTATGCACGTCTTCAATGAGTAAAATGTTGGGGAGAGTTTTTTAAAATTAAGATGTAATTTATGTCGAGAAAGGGGTGGAGAGGAGGTTGGTCGAGTGAATACCTTTTATTTATATTGAAAGAGCTTAGGGACGTATGCCTTGTGTTATTTTATATTCTTTCATTTTTATTGTTTTCATCACATTCATAGCACACACACACACACACACAGATACACACACACACACACACACACATACACCACAC